GTGTGTATGTGCGCGTGTACGTGTGTGTGTAGGTGAGTGTTTGCGTGTGTGCGAAAGTTCGCAACTGGGATTTTTAGGAGTACCTGTACCTGACCTAACCACACCCTCTTTGAAAACCAACCACCCATACCCACTGTATACCTGGTCTGTCGGACTTGTACCCATCTCCAAGTGTTAAAAAAAAAAAAAAAACTATTCCCAGACCTACTCTACCTGAACCTCTTCAACATGTAACTGACCATACCTACCCATGAACATTTTTTTTCAAAACCACCCACTGGCATGACCACGTAAACCCAAACTGTTTGTTAACCACCCATACCCTACCCTACCCAAGTTTTCTTAACGTGTACCCACCCGTACCTACACATAATTGTATGCACCCACCTATAACCACCCATGCTCGTCGTCCACCCTCCTCTAACCGCCCATAACTGCCCCTACCTGTCCTTAACTGCCCCTAACTGTCCCTAATCGCCCCTAACTGTCCTTAACTGTCCCTAACCGCCCCTAACTGTCCCTAACTATCAGTAACCGCCCCTAATTGTCCCTAACTATCCGTAACCGCCCCTAACGTTTCTTTTTTTCTTTTAACCGCTCCTAATTGTCCTTAACCACCCCCAACTATTCCCAACCCCTATACAACACAGGATTGACGTGGTAATTTTTATTATTATTAATATTATTATGTTATTTTATTTTTTTCGAGATGTGGCAGCTGCTGCAGGTACTACCCCAAAAGCAAAATTTGTTACATCTCGTCACTCTGATGCTGCTATTGATGCATCTGGTGCTACAGCAGCCTATGCAACCTGTATAGCATCTGCAAATACAACAACCCTCTGTCTGCCGCACACACATACACTCTCACACACACACACACACACACACACACACACACACACACACATAAATATTATATACACAGGGTTACACACATATGAAAAAAGTCTGAAAATTTGAAAAAACAAAAAATAAAAAAATGAAGAGATATAAAATTCACTCTTGCGAGAAAAAACGTTTGCGTCATGGAAAAACAAGAAAATTGGCATGTGAGAAAAGCGTCACGCTTGAGCAAAAATACAAAGCCTGCAAAGCTACAAGACTCACATCGGGTATAGCACGGTTACCCGATCGGAAACTCTGTCCGCCTGTACCCATCCATTTTGTTTTTTGGCCACCCGTACCTGCCCATACCCGTCTATTTTTTTTTCTGGTCGCCCATACCTATTTTTTTTTTTTTTTACCCCTACCCCTACCTGCCCTTACCCACCCATGATCTCCAAAAGGGGCAACTGTGCGCGCCCTAACAACCACCACCATTTGTTTGTGTCTGCCCATACCCAACTCCCCCTTTGGAAGGGGTACCCATACCCGCCCATAACTTGGCGGTTACAGTCGGG